CGCGTCATGGCGACCGCTGGGTCGACCCCCTCCAGCGCCAGGAAGGTGGTGAGGCATCGCCCAGGCCACGCTCTTCTCAGCGCCTGCGCACACCTCCTTCTGGCGAGCCTGAGGGCCCACGGAGAGAGCCCGCGGGCGGCCACCCCGTACACCAGCGAGGCTGATCCGCCTTGGTGGGCCACTCCACGCCTCCTCTTCAGCTTCAGCTTGCGCAGCTTGAAGCCGACCGATCCGAACCTCTTGTGCGCATCCTTGGCCCTCTTCGCATGCGTAGGCCTCCTGGCAGTGCCTCTCGCAGCACGGTCAGCCCCGAGGTCTCTGCCCTCTGCGACCGCCTTGACCTTCATCCCGAGCTGGTTGAGCCTGGACTGCACCTGGAGCGTGGCGCCGAAGTCCGGGGTGAAGATCAGCGTCTTGTCCGCCAGGCTGAGCCCGTGCTGCTCCAGCCCCCACTTCAGCTTCCCCGTGACCATCGTGAGCTGCTCCGTGACCGCCTCCTTGCTTCCGACGACCTTGATGCTGATGTCGTCGAACCAGGCTCGCGGCATCGGCTTGGACCGCGCCGATGCGGCGTCCATCATGTGGCTGAGCACCGCGTAGACCACCGTCTTGGCCACGTTGTTGGAGTGTCTCGAACCCGCCAGGATCGATCTGTCGGCCAGCATCGGCTCCGAGTACGAGTTCTTGCACCTCAGGATTCGGGCTCCCGGGTGCTGCAGAAGCAGCATGGTGAGGAGCCTCGGGCAGAAGCGCCTCTGGGATGAGGGTGTCGATGCGCAGGCTGTCGTAGAACTTCCCGATGTCTGCCAGCGTGCACCCCTGGAAGATGCCGAGCGCGTCGCAGCACTCGTCCGAGAGGGTACGCCTCAGCGCCTCCCTCTTGCAGCTGTTGCCTGCCACCGCCGCGTCCCACTCGCGCTCCTGCTGCTTTGCCCACTCCCTCACCGCGGGCCTGTGGAGGAGCTCCCAGCAGCGCACCAGCTGCGGGAGCAGGGCCAGCGCGCGGTCGCCCTTGGCTGGCTTGGGGGTGATCATGACCAGCGCGTTCAGGAGCTGCCAGGGCCACATCAGCTTCAGCTCGCACTCGTTGAACAGGTCCACGATGGCCTGTCGCCCCGCCGTCGGTAGCCGACGGAGGTCGCTACATCAGGGCTTGTCTACTCCCTGGCCCCTGTCGGGCTCCCCCGCGAGGGCGATGTCCAGGTCGTCGACAGTCCACTGTGGCGCGTCCACGGCTGCCGCTCGCCCCCTGAGGTCTCCGAGCAGCTGCGTGTGCATGCCGTGGGCGACCTCCTCGCACCTCCAGATCTTCGCGAATGCCTCAGCCTTGGCGTCCACGATCTCCATCGGGCTGTCCGTCACGCCCGTCTCCATTGTCAGCTCCTCCTCGCGTCTGATGGGCGGTTTGGTGATCCTGTGGAGCACGCCTGGCTGCTTCTCCGTAGCGGCTAGCCACCGCCCAAAGCTCCGCGTGCTCTCCCTCAGGTCCCTGTTCACCGCAGCTCGCCTCTCCTGCTCGGCCTGCATGGCCATGCCCTCGACGATAGCCACGTCGAGGTCCTCCAGCGCCGCCAGCCTCTGCCTCCAGATGCTGCAGTGCAGGCGTGCCGTCTCCGAGGCCTCGCGGCCTGCCTGGGGCATGCCGTCGTAGGCCAGCTCTCGTCCTGCACGAGCGAGCTCCCGCTGCTGATTCGTGCCTCTGCCTCTCCTCCTCAGCTTGGCCATCATGGTTAGCAGGACCTCGGCTCTGGCCCACCAGTCGGCGCTGCGCTCGCTGTACTTTAGCCTCCTCTCACCGCACTCCCTGGAATTGGTGACCTTTAGCTCGTATGCCTTGCCGCGGCCCATGAAGTGGTGCCTGTCCACAGGGTCGATTCGGTAGGCCATGCAATAGAACCTCTCCATCGTGCCGATGGTGTTCGCGAAGCGGTCCCCGAGCTCCTTCGCCGCCTCCGCGTCCACCTGGTGGGCCGCGCAGCTGCTGATGCAGGAGGGGATCTCGGAGGACTCGCTCTGCTCCTGGTCCTGCAGGGCCTGCGCGGTCTCCCAGACGTGGCCCATGGTGGTGGTGTCCACTCCATCAGCCGCCACTCGGATTCTTCTCCTCAAGTCATCCTCGTTGCATCTGCACTCTGGCTCGGGCGAGGTCCCCCGACTTTGCCGCTCGCTGTGCTCGCGGCTCTCGTGGCATCCGCGGGCTGAACCCTCCCCCCCGCGTTCAGTCTGTCGGTTCCTCAGGGTGCGGGGCCGCTCTGTTAGTTGCGAGGTCCTGTCTACCACAAGGTTGGCCACATAGTCCGCGTCATGCCCTCTGGGCTCGTCAGGGACCTCCGCCTCGAAGCCTTCTGGGATTTGCAGTTGCAGCTCCTCTTCGAAGCGATCCTCGGGATCTGCGAAGGGGTCCGCGTCCGCATCTGTCCATCCTGGATTCGCTCGCATCCACGTCGAACCTGGGAGGCCAACCCCAAGGTTCTCATATGACTCCTTTCCGCCAATCCTTTCACAAACTGCACCCTCGGCGCCTGGGTTAGCCCCCGCGGGGATGCCCGTCCAGCCAGCCTCGGCTGGCGCCAGCGCCTCCCGCCGTGCGTTGTCCAGCGCCAGCTCGAAGTCCTGAGGCGGCGGGCGCTGCTCAAGCTCCTCCTGGCCTCCTCCTCCAGCCGCTGCTGCCCGCGCCTGCGCTGCTGCCTCCTCCCTCACTGTCCTCCTCGTCCTCTTGCTGCCTGGGCATGGCTGCTTCTTGGGTCGGGGAGGGTGAGGGAAGGGCTGAGGCATGCGCAGCGAGCGGGTCCTCGTCTCCTGGGCCTCGGCGTAGAGCGTGAACTTCAGCCCGATGTGCGGCTTCCACGGCACGTCGTAGACCGCCTCCACGCCCTTGATCAGCTTCTGCCCTTGCTCGTTCACCAGGGCGTAGTCTATCATCGACTCGTGCTCTCCCATCTGGCAGGTGAAGTCGCCGTCTGGCAGCGAGACGACGGCTGTCGCCCCCATCGCTGATGGCCAGCCTGAGTCCCACATCTCTGTCGGTGCCTTGTTGAAGGCGCCGCAGACGATCCATGCGCCGCCCAGCCCCTTCAAGAACGAGGCGAGGGCGGTCAGCTTGCGGGCGTTGATGCCCTCGTGCAGCGCCTTGCCAACGTCCAGGTAGAGGCTGATCACCGTGATTGTCGTCCCCTTCAAGTGCCACGTGACTGGTGCCCAGTCGCACAGGTCCAGGTCGGCCTTCCACTCCCCGCTCACGTCGGTCGTCGCCTTCGCGACTGTGGACTGCCTGGCCTGGCTCCGAAAACTCGAAGTCCGCAGATGCCCCCTCATGACAACCGCTGCCCCTCCGCATGTGCCCCTCTCTGAGCGTGAGCTGGGTCTCGCCGCCGCGGAGCACGCCTTGTACCCCAACTTCGCAAGTTCGCACTCCACGGAATCTAAATTCGAGCGGCCTACGTGCGTCTCCTGGAACGCGTAGGCGTCGTACCCCTGGCCAATCTTCTGCTTGGCCATCCACGGCCTGGCTGTGGGTCCCCAGCTGGTGAGGCTCGCGCAGAACAGTGTGCGCTCGCGGGGCTCGGCGGCGCCTCCTCCTTTGCGCCGAGCTCCGCGCGCCTGTCCTCAGGCCGCGGCTGCCCCCGCTGGGCTGCCTGCGCCTGTCTGCTCCCTCAGCTGTCTGAGGTACTCCTCTGCCTCTGCGTCCCCTCCTCCCGCAGCCGGTGGCGGCCCAGCCGTTGGTGCCGTGGCCGCCGTGGGGGAAACTGCTGGCTGCTGTGGCTCGGCAGCTGGTGTCGCTTGCTGCGCGGGCTCCGCTGCGCCTCCTCCCTCGGCCTTCCTCTTCTTCGCCGCCTGGTGGATCGTGGCCTGCTGCTCCGCCGCCTTCAGCTTCGCCGCCGCCAGGTGCTTCTTCAGCTGCGTCGAGAAGGTCTGGGCGTTCTCCTTCAGGTGGGCCACGACCGTTCTCTTCACCTCCTCTACTTGCTTGCGACCCTCCTCGTCCAGGTCGGCGGCGGTCAAGCTCAACTCTCTCTCTCTCTCTCTCTCTCTCTCTCTATGTCCGCTGCAAGCTGGCCCGCCGCCAGCTCCTCCACCCGGCCGCTGACCAGCTGCTCCAGGACGCCTTTCGGAAGGTCGCGGCCCTCCGCCTGGATGGCCTCGAGCTCCTTCTCCGCCTTGAGCACCGCCGCCGCCTTCACGTCTAGCTTGGCCCTCGCCTCCTGAGCGACTGCGTCTGCCCTCCTCTTGGCCGCGAACGCCGACGAGTACGCCTGGTTGGCCTCCTGCAGTGCCTTGGCCGCGATGCCTAGCCTCTGCGCCCTTGACTCGGGCGGAAGCTCTGGCACCGCGGCCTTGATCGCAGCTGCCGCGCCCTGCAGGGTCCTCGAGATGGCCTCGCCGCTGGACAAGTTTAGGTCGCCCAGCGTGTCCGTGAGCAGCTTCAGGGCCTGCGAGACCTTGTCCGCGCCCTTCTGCGTGCCCTTGGTGCTGCTCTGCTGCTGCTGCGGCCCCTTGCCGCTGTTGGCGCTTGTGCTGCTGCTGCTGCCGCCGCTGCCTCCCCAGTCCGACTTCGGCGTCTTGGGCTTCGGCAGGGCGGCTTTGCACTTGCACTGGTAGTACATCGCCTCCAGGCGCGTGCTCCACCACCACTCGCCACAGGCCTTGCACACCACGTAGGCCTTGTCGGTGCCCGCCTTGGCCCCGCCCTTGACCATCTTCGGCGCCTCGCTGCCGTGGTGCGCGTCCAGGCGCTGTGCGTCCTGCAGCTGCCGCAGCCGCCTCCTCGCGCCAGCCCGCAGGCGCCGCTCTCTGCGGTGCCAGGCTGGGGAGCGCGACCGCGCACGTCGCCCCTCCGTGGGGCTGGGGGCTATGGCTCCGCGGGCGCGCGCCCGCCGCGGGGGCAAAATGCCTGCGTCCCGCGCCGCGCTGCCAAGCCACCTGGAGGAGGAGGAGGAGGAGGAGGAGGAGGAGGAGGAGGAGGAGGAGGAGGAGGAGGAGGAGGTGCCCCCGGCCCGCGCCTGCTCCCCCTCGGCGGCCGCGGCCACGGCCACGTCCGGCGCGGCAGCCTCCGCACCTGCCCCGCTCCCGGGCTGCCCGCGGCACGGCGGGGGCGCTGGTGCGGGGATCGGGGATGGACAGACCCCCCTTTAGTAAAACGTGGTTCAGTGAAAACGACCTGAGGCCCAAACCTGGCGGGCGCAAGCCTGGAAAATAACGGCCGCGGCGCCCTCTCGAGAGCCGAAGACGGACAATTCACTAATCGACGTGTCACTGTTGGGGGTTCTGTCCGCCCCCGAGGGGAGTGCCGGCACGAGGCCGAGAGCCCACCACGGGTGAGACGTCAGGCTCGTGCTCGGGGGACTCGGGTTGGCCCGACGGGGCCCTCAGGGAAATGGCGAGGCCCGGTCTAAGATTCGACGCGAGCTCCCGCTGCACTCCCTGCACGAGAACTGGGCCGTCGAAACTCAGGCCTGGTGAAACCAAGCGGTATCGATACCGCTACTCCCCGGACCTCTTCCGGGGCGCGTTCTGACCAGAATTTCGAGGCGAATCCAACGGTGGTGACGAGGGCTTCCCGGGAGGCCGAAAAAGGAGAACACTGGGCGAGGGTAGCGGTATGGGAACCTTTTCCTCCTCTGAGTCAAAACTCAGGCCGGGCCCGTCGAAGAACGTCAGCACATCCGAATCCCAGCGAACTCGAGTCATACGTTTCCCCGACACTGCTTCCCGCCACTCGAGTGCATCCCGCGCGTGGCCTCCGGGTTTCGGTGACCACTCGTGAGGGCCTCCGACACCATCTTGTCGGCTCTTGCGAATCGATGCTGGGTCGACGCTAGTCGACGCTACATCGGCGCTAGATCGACACTAGATGTAAGTCGGGCCTGTCCCCCTACAAGGGGGATTTTCAACGAAAACTAAAAAATACCCCAAAAGTAATCAAACAATAATCAAAAAATAGCCTGGGGACTATTTGTTTAGTATTTTTTGACCTTCTCGGGGCATTTTTGGGGTATCTTTTATTTTTCGTCGAAAATCCCCCTGTAGGGGGACACGCCCGACATAACAGCTAGATCGACGCTAGCCGACGCCAACTCGGCGCTCCCTCGTCGACTCCTGGACGCTCGCCGACGCCAAAGACGGGCCGGGCTCTCCTGACGTGCTGCCGAACTAGGCGATCCACGTGCGAGCCCGGCCACGCGTATGCTTCGAGCTTCTCGGCACCACGCGTCGATTCCAGCCTCTGCAGCACCCCCTCGGGTCCGTGGGCCGTGGGAGCGTGAAGGGGCCCCAGGACACACAAATGAATGGATTCCCCTATATTTTCGGATATTTTCTGTGTGTCTGTCTTCCCCCCCCACTTCCCATATTCTCCTATGTTTTCGGGGGAATCGAAGATTCATTGTGTCTGTGTGTTTCTTTGCCTCCTGAGAATAGGAAGCTGGGCGAGGGCTGCTAAAACCGTGGCTGCTAAAGCGGCCCTCCCGGCAGGAAGAAAAAAACAGCCTCCCGGAAGGAGGCACGGCATGCGAAACAATCCACGGGCTCCTTCCCGGAAGGACGAAGACGACTTCCCGGAGGTCGAATTTTTAGCAGCCACGGATTTCCCTGACCTTCCAGAGAATTATTTTTTAGCACGGGAGGCCAATAACCTAAAAACAAAACGAAACAGCCAAAACCAAGACATAGAATAGCTCTGGGATAGGTTTTTAAGTCGCGTGTTATTTTTTAACCCTCCTGGAAGGTCAGGGAATCAACGGGCTTCTTCCCGGAAGGACGAAGACAACTTCCCGGAGGTCGATTTTAGCAGCCACGGATCTAGCAGCACTTGCCCGGCTTCCGGCCCACCCTCGGGGATGGACAGACCCCCCTTTAGTAAAACGTGGCTCAGTGAAAACGACCTGAGGTCCAAACCTGGCGGGCGCAAGCCTGGAAAATAGCGGCCACGGCGCCCTCTCGAGAGCCGAAGACGGACAATTCACTAATCGACGTGTCACTGTTGGGGGTTCTGCCCGCCCCCGACCCACCCCCTCTCTGACGCGCCGCCCGCCTCGTCCTCCGGCGGGCGGTGGCGCGAGCCCGCCACGCCCCCGTGTTGGCGGACCAGGCGGGCGCGCCCGCACCCTCGGCCACGCGCAGAGGGGGGGGGGTCCAGGGGCGGCCCAGCCGACCCCCCGCAAACCATCTTCAGGAGGGGACAAAAAAACACACACAAACGCAATGAATCGTCGATTCCCCAGAAAATATGGGAACATATGGGAAGCGGGGGGGAAGACAAGACAGAAAATACGGGAAAATTGTGAATCTTGCTATTTGTCTGTATTTATTTGTGTCCCAGGGACCTTTGACCCACCAAAAACCATCTTCAGGAGGGGAAGAAAAACACACAGACACAATGAATCGTCGATTCCCCCGAAAACGTGGGAAAATATGGCAGGTCGATTTTTAACAGCCACGGATTCAGCAGCCCTTGCCCGGCTTCCGAGGGAAGCGGGCCCTGGGCGACACGTTGCCACGGGCATGTGCGCAGCCCAGCGAGGGGGCCAGGGACGTAATGAAATAAGAAGAGGCGCCCTGAATCTGAGGAAATATCATAGCCCCCGCCATGATATCCACCCCACCCCTAGCCTCACGGGTTAAGTCGGGCCTGTCCCTCTACAATGGGAATCTTGAAAAATAGTACAGAAAACAGCCTGGGAACTATTCTTAAAGCATTGTTCGGCCATTTTGGACCTATTTTCCAACCGTTTTGGAGCCATTGCCCGGCTTCCGAAGGAAGCGGCCCCTGGGCGACACGCTGCCACGGGCCGAGACCAGCCTGGGACCGCGCGCTGGAAAGACTGCACGGCCGCCTGCCTGGGCCCCCCTTCGGCTGCAGCACAGCCTGGACCTTAAAGGGGCCCTGGAAACGACAAGGCCGATTTTGTTACTGGTTCCGCTTTGCCGTTTTTGTTGCCAATTCCGACGCCGTTTTTTTTGCCGGTTCCGTCGCCGTTTTTTGACCGGTTCTGGCTCCGGTTCCAATCCTGGAGCCGTTCTTGTTGCCGTTTCCGGTCGCCTTCTCTTGCGGTTCCCATTTTCAAGGGACACTTTTTGGGGGAGCGGTGAAAAATGGCCCTGCCGTCTCTGGGGCCCACAAAGGTCTGGACCCCCCTCGGAAGACAGTCAAAACGTATAGTAAGGACGCGTGGTAAGGACGCAAGACCCTGGGAGGCCGAAATTGGGACTTTGTTGGGCGGCGGGCGACCAGCGAAAACGGCAAAAGACGGACCACAGAGGCGAGGACGCAAGGGCACCCTGGACGAAGGCGCGCGCCCTTACTAGGCGCGTTGACTGTACCCTGCATGCGACCCCACACGAGTCGGAAGACCACGGCGCGGAGGCGAACCCGAGAGACAAACGAACGAACGACGAGGCGGCAGGGCAGGAGGGCACGGAAGTCTGCTACGGCGGAGACAGTCGCTGGGCTCTCTCGACCGCGCGCCGGCATCCTTTGAAGGGGCCCCAGGACACACAAATAAATACACACAAATAGAAGGATTCCCCATGTTTTCCAATAGTTTCTGGGCGTTTGTCTTCCCCCCCACTTCCCGCATTTGTCCCATATTTTCCTGGGGAACCGACGGTTAATTGTGTCTGTGTGTTTCTTGCCCTCCTGACAATTCGGCACCCCTGCCTGGGGCAGAAGAGCCCGGATCTCCGTCGACACGAGCGTTCTCAGGGGGCCCTGACAAACACCTACAGGGACAGGATCAGGGCCTCTGGGGCCGCGGATCGAAAAACGAATGCGGGTGGATGCCAGGGGTGAGTGCCCGTATGATTTGACTCTGGCATGTTTGCCTCCATGGAAGAAGGGGGGCCCCTGGCAAGATCCTGGCGAGGAGAACTGATATCACGCATGTCGAAAGGTATTGGCACGCCTCCTCGGCCCAGCACGGAACGAAAAGGCGGCGATAGATGTGGGAAGTGGTGTGGTGGTGGTGGTGGTGGTGGTGGTGGTGGTGGTGGTGGTGGTGGTGGTGGTGGTGGTGGTGGTGGTGGTGGGTCAAGCTAGCCAGCTCGAGCGAGTCAAGCATGGCACGCCCGTTCCCACCCGCCCTCCCACAACGTAAGAAACAGCGATGGCACATCGGACAGGCTGCTGTCTTCCCCCTCGCCGCACCCCTAAACACCCGAAATCCGTTCCGAAGGAACCCTTCGGACTCCTCCCCGGTCCAAACGCACAACTTGTCCGAGTCGCGTCCAACCGTGACTTAGAGGAGGACCCGGAGGGCCAGAAAGCCTCGAACACCGATTCTCGAGGCAACGGACAGGCTGCTGTCTTCCCCCTCGCCGTACCCCCAAACCCAGATCCGGTCCGAAGGAAGCCCTCCCGGGTCCAAACACACAATTTTTTCGAGTCGCGTCCAGCCGTGGCTTAGAAGAGGACCCCGAGGGCCAGAAAGACTGGAACACCGATGCTCGAGGCGCAAAGTTCGAGCACCTCACTGAAACACTCCCCCTCGGCGCACCGCCGACCATGACCTGTGGGCGGCGCCGGCGCCGTGCCGCCGCGACGGGCCCTCCCGGTTCGGGCTTCGAGGCTCCTCGGAAGCTCTCGCGGCTCTTGGGCCCACATCCCCGACGATGAGACTTTTTCCGTGCTGGCGTTTTTCCGTCGACTTCGCAAATTTTTCCCTCGACTTCGCCCTCCAGGGAACGGTTTTTGGGCCCCCGGACCAATAAGAAAATATCCAGGACGCAAAACTGCTCCCGAGAAAGGGGTCGAGATCTCAGAAAGGCTTGGGACAAATTCGCCGGCCCAACGGGCCAGAGGCGTGCAAAGATCTCCGGTAACTACTTAAAAATATTCTAGTTCGCGCGCGCGGGGCGACCCCTGGAAGCCCCCGGGCGACAAGTGCCCCGAGCAGGTGCCGGCCCAGCCCAACGGGCCAGAGGCGTGCTAAGATCTCTGGAAACGTTAGTTGACAATCTTCTGATTTGCGCGCGCGGGGCGGCCCCTTGGGGGCCCCCGGACGAAAAGAACCCCGAGCAGGTGCTGGGCACGTCGGCCCCAGCGATGGCTTTCTTCTTCGG